TGCTGGATACGGCTGCAACTCGCCGGCTGCCGGTTGTATCACTGCCCCCATGCTGGTTACACCTCTCCGGCCTCGTCGTGGATACATACTTCCACTACTAGAAAAACGCTTATAGATAGAATTTTACTAGTAGCGCTGGTTTAAGCAGAAGCGCTACTGCTAAGTACCAGTAGCGCTAGGAATAACAAGCTCTACTGATACAATTTAGCAGCAGCGATGGTTAGGATGGACTGCGCTACTGTTAAATGTGCCACACCACACGGCCAGGTCAAGAGACACTAGCAGCGCTTGGAACCTATGCAATGCTACAACTAAAGCAATAGCACTAACGCTCTTTGTCGCCCCGCGCTACAGCTGTGGATAGACATCCACTGGCCCGACTGGCCTCCTCACCTCTCTCTCTCATTTCTCTCTCTCTCTCTCTCTCTCCCACGCGATCCCCAAATCGCTGCCCCTGCCGCTGGCCTCCCTTGCCAACTCCGGCGAGCTCTGGCGCCGTCCAGCATACCCACGGCTCCCCCTCACTGAGTTCTACCTGATCCACCTTTTCGATCTGCTTTCCCCTGCCTCGTGTGGTCGCTCGCTTCGGTCAAACCTTGCTAGGGTTTCGGTGCTTGCGGGGCTAGGTCGCCGGCGTGGTTCCGGCGCCTTGCTCTTGTGTGACTCGCCTCCTGGCTGTGCCCAGGTGTTGCACGCGTCACTAATGCGGCCCAGTGGTCGCTGGCGATGCGGCGGTCGCCTGCCTCTCCACGGCTTCGCGTACCTCCCCTCCTGCCGTCATGTGACGACGGTGAGTTGGCCACACCGCAACCGCGGCGGTGGCGATGCACGGCCTCGGCTATAACCCCTTCATGGTGAGCTTCTCCTTCTCTGCCCAATTGCTGCCTCTACTGCCTAGACCATGGCCGTGGTGATCTTGGTCCTCTTCGTGTACTGGTAATATGACTTAGGTTCTTGAGGACGCTTGGATTGATGGCTATGGTCTGCTACTTGATTTGTGCTTTACTGAAATTAGTTGGGGTAGTTGGTTACTGTTTAGGGTTCATATTTGGGCCTAGATTTGTTGATGTGCTAATGCTCCGGTTGATCCACTTGTCCATACTCTAGTTCTAGTTCATGCCTACGGAATCGTCATTGGGGATTTGGTGCTGCTGGTGGTCCTATGTGTTGCTGGTGGTCCTATGTGCACTTGTTTGATATACTAGCATTGTATCCTTAACTGACAGTTAAACCATTAACCTACCATGCATATAGATGTGTTCATGTGGAATTGATGCTACTCTAACTCTGTGATCAACTTGTGGTCATGATCTAGTTCTGGTTGTAGTTCTTGTTATTTAAATGTTCCTTTTATTTCAGTTTCTCTTGCTGCAAGTATAATTACATGCTTATATTCTTGTTGGCCGTATCTGTGTTCAATACATATTAGTTTTTATTTAAATACCATGTACTGGTATTTCTTGTTCTGTTTAGTACATCATCTTTTAGTGGTTTAGTTGTATATTGCACATCACATAGTCATGGTAGTTGCATGTGGTGACACTTCTTTTATTGCTTTAGTTATATCAGATGTTTCTTTTACATGCTTAGTAATTAACAGTATCATTGGTTTAAATGATATAGCCCTTTATTTATAGATACTTATATTGCTTTACCTGGTTCAGTTTAGAATAGATGCTCTCTTGGTCTTAGCTTTTCTCTCTTCCTTTCTTTCCTCCTCTTCTAAACTCTACTGATAAGAACAGTTGCTCCTTGATCTTAACCAAGCCCATGATGCTGGTCTGAGGCTCCTTGACCTTAACGACTTGGCTCTCCAAGCAACAAAATCAGTTCAGCGGCGCTCTTGGATCCTCTTTCTTGCTTATTGGTCAGATTCTGAATCTAGATTCTGCTATTTTGGTTCATATTCCATTGATTTGGTATGCTACATCTACATTGATGCATCAACTCTGCCCCATAATATGGATACATGTTTGCAGGCAGTTTTCTTCGATAGTTTTGTGTTGCCATTGCTACCAGTCATCAGATTTTGGTAAGTTATCTAACACTGCTGTTAGAGTCCAGATGCGCCTTTTAGGTTTAGGAGCACCGCTGTCTAGCTCAGCAGGCGAGAGCTCTAAGTGTTGTTATGTCTGAAATTCCATGGACAACCTTGTTTTGTTGGCATAGTTATTACTAGCCATGCTCGGCAGTATGACACACATTGTGGCCGATGGATTTCGGTTTTCCATGTGGTGTAAAAAGAAATATGTAGTAGTTTTTTTCCTATTTAATTGATAACTACTTGGATCGTGGAGGGTGGTGTTGAACGTGTATGGGTGTTTGATTTACTTATTCCTCTCACAGATGAGGAGAGTAGAAAGTAGCAGTTGGTATTGCTTCTAGTGTAGCAGGCTAAAGCACTGATCTTAGAAAAATAAATAGGTATCCTAAACACCATGATTGTAAACGTGGAAGTCTGTTGTATCAAACGATTATATCGAAACGGTTTTGGCAAGATGTGATGGTCAACTGCACTATGTGTGTCTCACTAGTAGTTGTAACAGGTGCTCATTCTTCCTGATGGACTGAAATGCTTTTGTGCATTACCTGTGTTTACACAGTGTATTTTTTATCTGTGGCACTTGCAGACTTGTGAATCAATCAAGATGCATTTACAATCTTGATCGTAAGAGCTTTCGTAAGATAAGCTTGTGTCTAGCTTTGCTTCCTCACTTTGCTTCTATTATTCCAATTAATTGAAAAGGATCCAAACAAGGCAGTTCCATTGTTCCGAGCAGCTCTTAACAGTGGTGAACAATTGAGAGTGCATTGAAGGATATGGCTACTATATTGAAACAAGCAAACCGGGCTGAAGAAGCCATCGATGCGATAAGATCCTTCTGTGACCGTTGTCCCAATGAAGCTCGGGAGTCTCTTAACAATATTCTTCTTGACCTATACAAGGTATCTCGGACCTGTAAATTTACGTATATAATCTAATAATAAACCCATATCACATTTGTGTATGATTGGTAGCCTAGTATTTATAACAATCTTCGTCTGTGTTGAACCAGAAATGCGGTAGGACAAAAGAAACAGATTGAAATGCTGATAGTGAAGCTGAGAATGGTTGATGTGGATCCAGCTTCTGACCGGTGGAAAGCAAAGATTTCTAAATCTCATGGAAGAGTATTATATCTCTCTTTGAGGGATGAAAAGGCAAGGTAATGAAAGTCTTTCGTACATCTTCATTTGTCCCGCAAACGCCATTCTAAGGCTCTGCTTTGTCTTGAAGGTTGTTGGGTAACCTCGCCTGGGCCTATATGCAGCCTGATAACTATGAGGAGGCTGAAATGCTCTACAAGTATATATCTCGGCCTTGAATTCGGCGTCCACGGCCAAACCCAGGTACCTACAAACTCCCCTCTGTTCTGTTTTAGACCGTCATACTAGTCAAATAGACCGTAATACTAGTATGATTCTGTAGCTAGAGAGACATTGTTGGTTCTGATGCTTATTGATTGACACACCAAGTGCTGTTACTACCGATGATTACTAGTAATACAACAATAATACATCTGCAACCAAGAGTTAAATTGAAGTGACCTGACAGTAAAGGGTACAATGTTGGTAATAATCTGCTATTGCTGATGCCTTCTTGCTTGCTTGCTTGCGAATGACCTGGGAATTACTCCTACTTGGTGCACAAACTTTGCTTGTTGCAATTTGCCTCAAAATCTTGGATTCGGAATCTATAATAAGATTTGGTCATGCCTAGCACTGTATCCTTCTTAAGTTGGGTTTTCCCCAATTTCTAGGATTGGTCTGTTAGGAACTGCTTATAATTCATATATATACTATGCTGCTGCTATATGCTTTTGTTTCTGCTATTGTTACTTAGTGATCTATAGGTTACTGTTATATTGTACTAATGCTCCAGCTTCTTTTGAGTTCCTAGTAGTGGTGTTGGTTCATTATTTAATTCCAGGATTTCTGAGTTCCTAGTAGGGAACACATGGACATGAAGCTACGGCGGCGACGAATACGATATCGACATTGGGCTGCGGCGACGATGATGACGACAACATCGGCATCGACACAGGGTTACGACGGCAACGAAGACGACATCAACACCATCAACACGGCCTTGTGGAGGCGCTGACGCCGACGACATAGACGCGTGGCATATATTGTGTGTGTGTGTGTGTGTGCGCGCGCGCGGCGCTCATGCGCGTGCGTGTGTGCATGTGCGTGTGTTAATTATCTACATCAGATATGTATGATTGATGATTGACTGTATGCATAACATGTACGTATTGTGAAATGCATGTCTAAACTGAAATAGGTAGACTTTTATTTTTTTTAAATCCTAATTTGTTACCAGTAGCGTGGGTGTATCATAGAAACGGTACTGCTATTCCTTTACTAGTAGTGTGGGTGTGGAATACTAGTAGCATGGGGCACCAGCGCTACTGGTATGTCTATTTAGCAGTAGCGTGGGGTAAAACACACGCTACTGCTAAAAAATAGTTGTAGCATCATAGTAGTAGCATGAGAACCTACGCTACTGGTAGTCAAAAACCCACGCTACTGGTAAGGTTCTTCCTAGTAGTGTTCATCACCGGTTGCAGCTCCTTGGCTCGCCGTGGAAGCATCCTTCCTCATCTGTTCCAGCACTTTGGGTTGCCGGTAGTAGCAAAACGGCGCGCCGGTTGCAGCTCTCCACATAGCTGATTCTAGCATCCCCTCATCGCGTGCTTGTAGCATATGGCGCCGCCAATCGCAGCTCTCCACGCTGCCGATTCCAGCATCCTAGATCGTCGTTGGTAGCATCACGTCTTTTCGCTCATAGTTGTGTGCCTCACCACTCGTAGCATCACCGTCGGCAGGTTGCAGCTTGATGTCGTGCTAGTTCCAGCACCTGACATAGCCTGTAGAAACACCGGTCCTCCATGGTCGTGCCACCGGAGCTTGCCAGTTTGTAGCGACCAGACCTCAAACTGTCTGATCTCTGTGCAACAGTGTCATCCCTGGATCGGTAATGCTGACATGCACAGTACTTGAAGGATTTATAACAGAGTAGCAATCACACACTTATTACATCGAATGTCTCAAAAGGGAACTTATTACAATAAATATGGCTTAAGGCCATTTAAATACGATAACAACGGAATGCTTGGAATATAAAGTGAGTCCATCAACTCCAACAGCATCACTGAGTGAAAGATCACGACCTAAGGCACCTTACTCGTCGTCTGAAAAGTCTGCAACATGAACCTTGTGTTGGGGAACGTAGTAATTTAAAAAAATTTCCTACGCACACGCAAGATCATGGTGATGGCATAGCAACGAGAGGGGAGAGTGTTCGTCCACGTACCCTCATAGACCGTAAGCGGAAGCGGTATGACAACGCGGTTGATGTAGTCGTACGTCTTCACGATCCGACCGATCCAAGCACCGAACGTACGACACCTCCGAGTTCAGCACACGTTCAGCTCGATGACGATCCCCGGGCTCCGATCCAGCAAAGCTTCGGGGATGAGTTCCATCAGCACGACGCCGTGGTGACGATGATGATGTTCTACCGGCGCAGGGCTTCGCCTAAACTCCGTGACGATATGACCGAGGTGGAATATGGTGGAGGGGGGCACCGCACACGGCTAAGGAACGATCCGTAGATCAACTTGTGTGTTCTGGGGTGCCCCCCTGCCCCCGTATATAAAGGAGCAAGGGAGGGTTGCGGCCAGCCCTAGGAGGGGGCGCGCCGGAGGAGTCCTACTCCCACCGGGAGTAGGACTCCCCCCCTTCCCTAGTTGGACTAGGACTTGGGGGGAAGGAGGAGAGGGGGAAAGGAAAGGGGGCCGCCGCCCCCCTCCTTGTCCTATTCGGACTTGGGGGGGGGGGAGGGGCGCGCGGCTGCCCCTTGGCCCCTTCTCCTCTTCCTCCACTAGGCCCACTAAGGCCCATTAGGTCACCGGGGGGTTCGGTAAAATGCCGATTTTACCCGGAACACTTCCGATGTCCAAACGTAAGCTTCCAATATATCAATCTTTATGTCTCGACCATTCCGAGACTCCTCGTCATGTCCGTGATCACATCCGGGACTCCGAACAAAATTCGGTACATCAAAACTTGTAAACTCATAATAAAACTGTCATCGAAACGTTAAGCGTGCGGACCCTACGGGTTCGAGAACTATGTAGACATGACCTAAAACCATTCTCGGTCAATAACCAATAGCGGGACCTGGATGCCCATATTGGTTCCTACATATTCTACGAAGATCTTTTATCGGTCAAACCCCATAACAACATACGTTGTTCCCTTTGTCATCGGTATGTTACTTGCCCGAGATTTGATCGTCGGTATCCAATACCTAGTTCAATCTCATTACCGGCAAGTCTCTTTACTCGTTCTGTAATACGTCATCTCATAACTAACTTATTAGTTATAATGCTTGCAAGGCTTAAGTGATGAGTATTACCGAGAGGGCCCAGAGATACCTCTCCGACAATCGGAGTGACAAAACCTAATCTCGAAATACGCCAACTCAACATGTACCTTCGGAGACACCTGTAGTACTCCTTTATAATCACCCAGTTACGTTGTGACGTTTGGTAGTACCCAAAGTGTTCCTCCGGTAAACGGGAGTTGCATATTTCTCATAGTTACAGGAACATGTATAAGTCATGAAGAAAGCAATAGCAGAATACTAAACGATCAAGTGCTAAGCTAACGGGATGGGTCATGTCAATCACATCATTCTTCTAATGATGTGATCTCATTAATCAAATGACAACACATGTCTATGGTTAGGAAACATAACCATCTTTGATTAATGAGCTAGTCAAGTAGAGGCATACTAGTGACTATATGTTTGTCTATGTATTCACACATGTATCATGTTTCCAGTTAATACAATTCTAGCATGAATAATAAACATTTATCATGATATGAGGAAATAAATAATAACTTTATTATTGCCTCTAGGGCATATTTCCTTCAGTCTCCCACTTGCACTAGAGTCAATAATCTAGATTACATAGTAATGATTCTAACACCCATGGAGTCTTGGTGTTGATCATGTTTTGCTCGTGAGAGAGGCTTAGTCAACGGGTCTGCAACATTCAGATCCGTATGTATTTTGCAAATCTCTATGTCTCCCACTTGGACTTGGTCCCGAATGGAATTGAAGCGTCTCTTGATGTGCTTGGTCCTCTTGTGAAATCTGGATTCCTTTGCCAAAGCAATTGCACCAGTATTGTCACAGAAGATCTTCATTGGTCCCGATGCACTAGGTATGACACCTAGATCGGTAATGAACTCCTTCATCCAGACTCCTTCATTTGCTGCTTCAGAAGCAGCTATGTACTCCGCTTCACATGTAGATCCCGCCACGACGCTTTGTTTAGAACTGCACCAACTTACAGCTCCACCGTTTAATAAAAAACACGTATCCGGTTTGCGATTTAGAATCGTCCGGATCAGTGTCAAAGCTTGCATCAACGTAACCATTTACGATTAGCTCTTTGTCACCTCCATATACGAGAAACATATCCTTAGTCCTTTTCAGGTATTTCAGGATGTTTTTGACCGCTGTCCAGTGACCCACTCCTGGATTACTTTGGTACCTTCCTGTTAAGCTTATTGCTAAGCATACGTCAGGTCTAGTACATAGCATTGCATACATGATAGAGCCTATGGCTGAAGCATAGGGAACATCTTTCATTTTCTCTCTATCTTCTGCTGTGGTCGGGCATTGAGTTTGACTCAACTTCACACCTTGTAGCACAGGCAAAAAACCTTTCTTTGCCTGATCCATTTTGAACTTTTTCAAAATTTTGTCAAGGTATGTGCTTTGTGAAAGTCCTATTAAGCGTCTTGATCTATCTCTATAGATCTTGATGCCCAATATGTAAGCAGCTTCACCGAGGTCTTTCATTGAAAAACTTTTATTCAAGTATCCCTTTATGCTATCCAGAAATTCTATATCATTTCCAATTAATAATATGTCATCTACATATAAAATCAGAAATGCTACAGAGCTCCCACTCACTTTCTTGTAAATACAGGCTTCTCCAAAAGTCTGTATAAAACCATATGCTTTGATCACACTATCAAAACGTTTATTCCAACTCCGAGATGCTTGCACCAGCCCATAAATAGATCGCTGGAGTTTGCACACTTTGTTAGCACCTTTTGGATCAACAAAACCTTCTGGTTGCATCATATACAACTCTTCTTCCAGAAATCCATTCAAGAATGCAGTTTTGACATCCATTTGCCAAATTTCATAATCATGAAATGCAGCAATAGCTAACATGATTCGGACAGACTTAAGCATCGCTATGGGTGAGAAAGTCTCATCGTAGTCAACCCCTTG